CCCCCTGGTATCTGCAGGGAAGACGGTCAAAGCTGAAGCAGCTTGTTGCCGTCCCCCCCCCACAAGATGCCTTTTTTTGATGAGTTGCATTGTCTGTTGCTGCTCTGTCTGTATTTGGGGGTGGGGGAGACAAAATGGCCTGTGCTTGCACACCCGGAATTGCGTGGCATGGAAGCACTTTCTCAAATTGCAGCGGGACTCGATGGGGACGGCCGTGGCAGAAAATTCCTGCTCGGTCTTCCCGAACGGTGCTGGGTCCCAGACTCAGAAGGGTCGCCAGGAGAGGCCCTGCTGGGTGGTCTTGCTCTTAATCCCCAGTGTCAGCCGGGCTCCTGGGGCAGATTGTGGCTGTCGTAAACAGCCGATTCTGGGTGGAGGGTGCCTGTAGGGAACCCCCCCCCATGCTCCTGCTAAAGCACAAATGGCAGCATGGAAGATGGCGCGTGGGGAGGAACGGCGCAACCACCGAAAGACGTGGATTTTTTTCCAGTCTCTCTTTGCTGCCGGTTTGGGATACTATTACCCCCCCCGCCTGTGCCCCTCATGGGGGTGGGAGAATCTCTGAGCTGTCTTGCGATGGACATGAGTAATTAGCAGACACCTTACAAAATACCGCTGAGGCTTGGCAGACGGAGGCAACAATCTAGAACGTAGCTCTTCACTGCCAAAAAAGAGCAAAAACACATTGAATTTTGCACCAAAACATTCCAGTCTCCTGTCATGAGGACAAAGGATCCACTGGAAAATTGGGTGGGGGAGCTGTTCAGGCCGGCCTTTCCTTCTCTCCCACCCGCCAAGAAGTCCAAGAAGGCGCGTGCACTTGTGTTTTACTTGTGGTGAATTTGCCCATTGCTTGCCGATGGGCACAGGGAGATGAACGGTCATTGGATCTGATTTAGATGCCCTTCTATGGGGTGGCTGGGGTGGGTGTGTCGAGAAGCCGCTCTCGCTAGAAGCCGTGGGCGCTGCGGGTCCCAAATCCCATCCAGACTGAAGCAGTCAGATTGGAGGGGGACCTTTGTGCAGACTGGTTGCAATGCCCATGGTCTCGGCTGATAGCCGTACTGGCTGGGGATGATGGGGGTTAGGGCTATTATAGACAGGGAGGCCAGCTTGGGCAGAGGTGGCCGTGGACAAGAAGGGTTGTTTTGTGGCCTCCTGCCAGAAGTGCAAGAAAAGGGCTGGGTGCGGTTAACTATTTTAATAAACTATTAACTGCGTCCATAGTTGACATGGTTGGCTGAGATGTTAGCAAATGGTGCTGACTCAGCCCCAGGGGGGATTTTGCTGGCAGGGACCGTCTGCAGAAGGGCACATGGGCAAGGTGGAGCTGAAACCGCTGCCCTCCTCACGCCCCTTCCCTCCTGGGTTCCTTCCCCAACAACCACGCGTGCCTGAGGTGGCAAATGTCCCCCGGGCCCTCGGCTGCTGGGCACCGCTGCGGGAGGCTTGCCACCATCCTCAAGGGTTCAGGGTTTCAATTTTGCGATGCAGGCCCAGCTGGACATTGCTAGGACAAAATGGGGGCTTTGTTCTTCGGCTGGCGTGTGAAGAGCAGGGGCTTCAGTGGGGGGCGGGGTGGAAGAAAAGGGTCGAGATGGTGGTTGCAGACCCGTCTTGACTTTGGGTGCTCTCATGGAGAGCCAGCAGGGTGGGACGTCACGGTTGCAAACGAGACCAAAAAGCTCTGTGTCTGTTTTTGTCTCCCAACCAATCAACCCCCCTTTGCTTTCTTTTTCTTTTTCTTTTTCCTTTCGTCACGGTTGCAAATGAGACCAAAAAGCTCTGTGTCTGTTTTTGTCTCCCAACCAATCAACCCCCCTTTGCTTTCTTTTTTTTTCTTTTTCCTTTCCTGTTCTTAGATAGCAGCAGCAGCAGCTGCCAGCTACCCTTTGAAAAACCCCAGGCCCTTTGATTTGATTTCCACCTCGGTGGAGAAAGGGAAGGGTTAATTTTTTTCTTTTTTTAAAGGATGGTCAATTGTTTTAAAAAAGATTAATGTGCATTTGTAAAATGAATGATTAAAAGCTTGCTTGCTGACTCTTTTACTTCTTGCCTGTGATGCAGTGAGGAGGAGAGGAAGGGCGCGTTGGGTCCCCTGAATGGGGAGAAAGGAAGACCAGATGCCAAGGGCTGGTGAGAGACCAGCAGCACCGGGCTGCAGAGCTGTC